ATCAGCGGAAGTAGGCCAACCCACAGGATTGTACTCGGGGCTATAGTTGCATTCAAAGTGGGGATTTAACCTGGCGCTGGTAATCTGCATCTCCCTTAATCTGTCATAAAAAATAAAATAGAGTTCCCGCAAATGGCAACGAAATAAGCATTCCTGTCTTAAAAATGTGTATTCTGAATTCCAAACAAAAACCCTTACCTTTTAACGCAGCAAGTGCCAGCAAGTAGCAAGAACAAAGGGATCCAAATGAAAATTTCAAATGCGGCTCTCAACTAATTTATGCAATGACCAATCAGAATTTGTTTTATCAAACAAAGTGAGTCTCAACCAATCACCGAAGGGTTCATAAAATTACAATAAGGTCGCAGATATCTATTTCCGGGTCATACGATCAGCTGGACGACCAAACAAGTTCAAGAAGGAAGTGTTGTTGTTTAAATTTATTACATCATTAAGAAGTGAAGTCATGATTGTTTTCAAAATATGACTTATTTTGGATGGAAAAGAAAAATTGGCACTGCTGTTAAAAAGAATTGTACTCAAATATTTCAAGATAAAACGGGTGTCAGTGAGAATGATTCTGACGACGAAATGATTGGATCTGGAGAAATCGATTGGCTTCAGTTGTCGAGGATAAAAAAGAAATCGAAAACCATACAATTAGAAGACGGCAATGTTAAAAGTGAGAGACTAAAACATGAAGGGTCATTACTTGCTGAAGCTGGGAGGTGGGTACGCAGTTTATGTTTGTTCTTCAATCGACGATTGATCAATTTGATATCAAAACTCGAAAATACATGTTACATGTCCATCCTAACCTTCGGTATTTAAATTTGTAGGTACTGGGAGGCACTAAGAAAATGGGATGAAGCCATTGAGCTGACACCAACAAATGCCATCTTGTATGAGATAAAGGCACAGGTTCGTGATAATAATAATAATAATAATAAATCTATTACATTTATAGTAATAATTTCCATTGGTTATTATTATTATTATTATTATTATTAAGTTTTCTCTTAAACTCGTAATATATTTAAATATCTGGACATCACTTTTTAATTCTTCTGAAACATTGATATTTTGAAATAACTTTTGTCTTACTTTTTGGTATCTTAGAACTGTTCTTCTCTTTCAATTTCGTTCTAGGAACATTGCTTATTTGTATTATTTCTAAGGATGGTATATCTACTCTTCTCTATTTCTAAGGATGTTTCAGTTGAGTATATCTACTCTTCTCTATTTCTAAGGATGTTTCAGTTGGGTATATCTACTCTTCTCTATTTCTAAGGATGTTTCAGTTGGGTATATCTACTCTTCTCTATTTCTAAGGATGTTTCAGTTGGGTATATCTACTCTTCTCTATTTCTAAGGATGTTTCAGTTGGGTATATCTACTCTTCTCTATTTCTAAGGATGTTTCAGTTGGGTATATCTACTCTTCTCTATTTCTAAGGATGTTTCAGTTGGGTATATCTACTCTTCTCTATTTCTAAGGATGTTTCAGTTGGGTATATCTACTCTTCTCTATTTCTAAGGATGTTTCAGTTGAGTATATCTACTCTTCTCTATTTCTAAGGATGTTTCCGTTAGGTATATCTACTCTTCTCTATTTCTAAGGATGTTTCAGTTGGGTATATCTACTCTTCTCTATTTCTAAGGATGTTTCAGTTGGGTATTATATCTACTCTTCTCTATTTCTGATACATGACTGCTTATGTCTATGATTACATCAGAGCAAAAATAGTTTAAAGTGTATAAACATTATATATGATACCGGTAATAATAATAAATTTTATTACACTGTAATGAAATTACCAATTCATTTTTGGCTGAAAGTAATAAAAGGAAAGGTAAGTAAAAAACAGAACGTTAAAATAACATAAGATCAGGCAGTAAAAATTAATGCAGTTTGTGTTTTTCAAAACACACTTTCAGATACCGTGTCACATGTCTAATTAGTTTAGGAGGGTTAATGAACTTATTGATATTGTTTTCAGACTTAATTTCTTATTGTTATTTGTTGCACTCAACTTCCAGAACTCTACATACCTTTGTTGAATAATTGAGGTTATTACGAGAATACTCAGACAGTACGTAGATACTCCAGCTGTACTGTCTTCGTGCATACTTTGAGGTATTCTCATAATAACCTTATTATTATACATCTTATCCTTCTAAGGATACTCCATGGGAATGCTAAATTTCAAAATGTTTAGAACAGAATCAGCAAACTTCTTTGTGTTGAATCCGGTCAAACTCTGGTGGCAGCCATGTTTGTTTTTATTACATGCGTAATCATTCCTTATTTGGAATTCGCATTTCTTAATATGGTAAGATGAAAATACCCTGTAAAATACCACAAATTTACGGCACGCTGTAACTTATGGCATTACGGTAACAGATGTATAATTATATTTTCATACATGTTTTATTTTACTGGCTGGCATTTTTTGAGGTGTTACAGACAGTATTTTCAGAAACCATGTTTTTCACTAATATGAACCAATGTAAATTTAGTTGTTTTTGCTCTTGAAAGGCTTGTTCTTCAATATTGTTGTCTGGTAAATCACTAATATGATACTAGATTTTATTTTATTTTAATTATAGGAATTTCCTAAATATCATGCAGCATTTGGGGAGAATTTATTCACACCTAGCATTCTTTTGCAAAATTTCACCAAAATGTATGAATTGACATAACTTATGTTTTGTTCATCAAATTGAAATAACTCTCTTACATTGTTTCTTTTTTTGAAAATCACGATATATATATATCAAGATATAGTCAGAAATAACCTCAAACACTATTAGAATACTGTGGGGGAAATGAATAAGGGTCTAGGGAAGAAAATGAAAAACATTTCCATATTCAGACCTGACTATGTAGAGAATGAATTCATTAAAAATGGTAGGAAATCATTAGTACAATCTTTTGTAGTTCTATTTCAAATCCCAGATGTATGGCAAATTAGAGTTGTAAAACCAATTCATGAAAAAAAAGGCCTGAAACAACATTAAACTCTTTTGTGTCAAAAGTATATCCTAAAATAGTAGAAACAAAACTATATACCCGGTATATGAAATATTTACTAGGTGAAATTCAAGGTGTTTTTAGGAAAGAAAGGTATTGCTTTGGTGTAGAAAACAAATAAAAAATCAACTTATGTTGCCTCCCTTGATTTTCTAAGGCCCTTGATAGAGTCTGGAGAGATGGGTTACAAGTTTCTCTACAGAATGCAGGAAGTTATGGAATATAATTGATGATATGTATGACAATGTTCTAAACAAAATTAATTTTAATAATATTGAAACAGATTATTTCAAAACTAATGAAGGTGTCTCAATTTACAAAAATGAATTTGCCAAAGTGCTATACAAATCTAAACTGTGGGTAATGATTGGAACACAATTAATACCTGGTCTATTCTGGGCAGATGACATAGTCCTCATAGCAAATAACGCAGTTGAACTGCAAAATATGTTAGATATTGCATCATAATTTTCAGAGCAATGGAAATTAACTTTAACCAATCTAAATCCCAGATAATCAATTTTGAAAAGAAGCTACAGAAAGGAACAATTTGAAAATTAGGAAATTTGACACTTGAAGAAACTATTAAAAATATATAAATACTTAGGCATCAATATTTAAAAATCATTAAAAGGTCATTCACATTTTATGAAAACTTATAAAAAAGCAATGACAATATTAGCATACAGTAAATCAATCATAAACCAACATAACAGTTATAATAGGTTTGAATATGGTGATGTTCTGTGGTAAAATATAATCATGTCGTCAATTGGATCAGGCATACACAATGGATCTAGTGTATGGCTGTTAGAAAGTACAGTGAATTTGGCAAGTTTCTTTAAAGTTAATAGGAATGTAGCATGCCCAGCAATATTGGGAGATTTAAGATGGTAAGACATCAACTAGATTCATGATGAATTGTGAATACAGTATTGGACTGATTACAATGATTGATATTACCAAGTGGACCAAAATAGTTTTCTCTAAATTACATGATTCATATCAGAACAAGGCTTGCTTGGAGCTGGCCAAAATATATCAACAATATTCTAATTCAAATGGTGTGGATGACGTTTATGGCCTAAAAAGACCACAGAATTTTAGTTGGATTAAAATTTTCTATAAAATTAATGAAGAAAAGGAAGCAGTTTTGTTGAAACTATCCAAGATATGAAATCCCTAAAGCACTATAGCTGGATTAAACACAACAATAAAATGGAAAATTATAATAAAGAATCTCTATGATCATCATGGCATCTCCCTCTTCTTTAAGGTGAGGTCAAACACAATAGATTTGGAAAGAAATAAAACAGGATAGGAAAATTATAATCAGAGTATGTAATCTTTGTAATGTTGGAAGGGAAGATATTTATTACTTCCATTTCTTTGCAAATCATCTAACCACTTGAGAAGTAAATTCTATTCAGCACTGACCAATGCAGTGGAAAGTGGTCGAGAACTAACTTTTGTAGATGGATTTTTCTCAAAAGGTGAAATTAATTTCAAACTTTAATTTTTCTCTCCAGTGATGCTTCAATAAGAATTTTGGAAATAATACGTCAAAAGAAATCAGAAACTTTCACACCTATCTATGGAAATGAGAAACTGAACAATTTACATGCATGAATGCTTTTATATTTTTATTTATTTGTTGTTGTTGTTGTTGTTCTTGCCATTTCAAAGCTAATAAAATATTATTATTACTCAGATAAATTATTTAGTGCATTTTGAAAACCTTATTGTGTTGATAAAAAACAATACTAGGTCATCTTCATAAAATAGAAAGTTAATTTTATAATTATTTAATGTTACCTGGTTTATCGAATCTGTTTAATGTATCATTCAAGTCATTCACGTTTACATTTTAAAAAGCAGTACATCATTGTCTTGTACCCTTTACTTGTATTAAATATTGGAGACTTTTTATTGCCAAAGCGAATACATGTCTTGTTATACACTGTACAGATTTTTAGTGTCTTTGATAATATATAAAATAAATCGTCTCTCCGAATAGTATCTATAGTCGTAATATGGAAATCCACAAAGCATGTATAAAGTTTACCAAGTTTGTAGCAACATTTGATCAGCAGTCTGATAACCTTTTCTAAACCTATCCTGATTGTTTATATTAAGGTATTAGACAATATTCTCTGAAAAATACACATATAAACCTATTATTGACTGAATAACAGAACACCTGCACAGCTGGAAATTATTATTAGTTCCTGTTCAGACACATTATGTCATAGATATACAGATATATTGGTTTATTGATTCAATTCAAAATGACTGAATGGTGGCCATTTTAGTGCTAAAAAATCATCAAAAATCAAGCAATACTGCCATTCCGGAACTGGATCTTGGTTGTGTATGAATGGAATGGTTTTATGAATGCGGTTCTAGTGCCATATCTTTGACATGCTTTGATATTTTATATATTCATTATACATCATGTCGTGGATATACAGATGTATCGTTTTGATCATCTGTTTCAAAATGGCCGACCGGTGGCCATTTTGTTTCAATTAATGCTGTTCCAGAGCAATATTTCTCAATATAAACAAGTACTTGTACTATATTACTACCCGGTATAAACAAAACTGTATAACTTAGATTTGATAACTAACAGGGACTGTGCCATGCATGGCTTGTTCCAATTAATTTGTTTAAAGTATTTGACACATTCAGTATTTAGTTTTAAATTTAGGTTTGCTAGCTGCAACTAGCCTGATAATGGCTATGTGTATTAAAACTTTACTACAAGACCATATGATGTATATCATTCACAATCTCCAATTGCATTATCCCTAGCAAAGTTGCCAGCGGTTTTATGATTTCAACACTTACAATCTTTAGCAAACCATTTTCACAAGGGGTGTTTGTTGTAAAAAAAAACAGTTTAACAATATACAAGAAAATTATATTTAAACTTTGTTTTAATTTTCCATTTCACCCATGTAACACTTAGGTGTAACACTTGTATCGTGTTGAGAAAAAAAGTCTGAAGTAAGACCACACATGTTGGCTAAATATGATGTTTGAATGGTCTTACATATTCAAATAATGTGACCTGTATAGATTTGAAACTATATTTAATAGTAGGGCCATATGTATCTTACATTATCTGTCTTCACCAATACATAGACCTTTCTTTTATTACAGCTTTGTACTGTATATAGGAACAAGTACAGATAGGCCAACCTCAAACTTTATAAATGTCATGCACATTACTGTACATTTAATATTATATCTTGATTGATACAGGCACTTATGGAACTAAATGAAGTATTTCCAGCAGTTCAAATGGCAGAGAAAGCAGTCATGTTATCTCCAACTTGGTGGGTAGCATACCAAACACTTGGCAGAACACAACTGGGATTGGGTGAATTGCAAATGGTAGGTTTTGAGAGGTAATTTATTGAATAGTAAAACTTGGAGAAAGCAAAAGGGTTTGTCAAATATGTGATGTTTGATCCTGAAAAACTACGATAGACAAGGGCATAGAAAATAGAAAATAGAAAGTGTCTGTCAAAAAATGTAACCACAGATTTGCAAGTGATTTTATGTTGATTATTTCTTTATGTTATTTTGTAATTTTCATTCAAAGTTGGACAGGTTCATAGAATTTTTTTACCAAATGAAATGTTGTATCTGTCTAAAATGGAGTGCTTTCTAATATGGCAGATAGACAGGTGGCTTGCAAAAAGCCTGATGCACAATAATGGGGGGGGGGGGGGGGCGTGTTTGTCTCATATATCGCTAAATTTACTTTTGAACCGTGCCAATATTCACATTACCGGTATAATGAAGAATGAAAAAGAAATTGATATACTAAATTGTTGTCAATAACCTCTACCTATTTTATTGACAAATCCAATCCAAATCACATAATGGTTCTCAAAATGTTCAAAGGTATAACTTTGTTCAAAATCAAACATTGTCCCCACTGAAATACCAAGGCTGACTTCACTTTCAAACTGTTTGATGTTATTGATATAACACATCAGACAGTTTTTTCATTAATGTTTTTTTTTGTTACATTAGGCTATTATTAGTTTTTCAAAAGCCCTGCATCTAAATCCAAGTGAAAGAGAATTATGGGAGATGGACTTAAAATGGGTTTGTGATTTGCAAAAGACAAAAGAGAGAAATAACCTAGATAATAAAGAGGACCATAATGATGAAGAAGAAAAGGAGACTGTTATAATATCAAATAATGCTGTAAAAGCAAGATGATTGTTGGATAACATGAGAACAAACTTTGAATCGATATGCCTAATGATATTAATAGACTTCTCTTATTTATTCAAGTTATTATTTTTAGTACCCAATTCACTAAATTTGTTAAGTGTCCTTTCCTGTTTCCCCAATGTTGTTTTACTAGTTTGTACAAATGCAATATTTATGAATGAATAGGTGATTTTTTGTTCAACTGCGAGATCTTGCGAGATGCATGAAAGACGCGTGTCGAACGTATGCCGCAAAAATCAAACGATTTGATTTTGAGCTCAAATTTCTTTATTTCGCAGCTCACATCGATCGGCAGATCTTTGGCAGAGAAATATAACTTTCGATAACACTCACTTAATCGAAATTGTCTATCATCAAATGTGGACAGCACATTATTAAGCATGGAAATGTCCCCCAAAATATTTTCGCGTTTGTCAAATCCCACGCGATGTTTAACGCCACTACGACGCTATGACCTTTGTTTGTCCTGTTTTTACATTCAATTTCACGCATAACGTGTGATTCTCGCAGTGAATGGAAAATGGTCTGTTGTTCTACTCCTCTAGTGGGATGAACTGTTATTGGTCAGATTCAACTGCCATTTAGAGTTTCTGAATATACCTTAAACCTGAAACTATTATAGTACATATAGATAGATAAATAACAGCTTTATTACAACCGTGTAGACAATTTTACATTTCTAATTTGGTGTTTAAAATGTAATAAAGTTAATAATGAATTAACTAAAAAGTAAATAAGCAAAAGTGGAGTAAATAAAAAGTTAAATATGTGTGATTGATAGTATTCTTTTGTTTGTTCATTTACTGTTACTCAAGTACACATAGAGGGCTATAATATTGTCTTTATCTTTTGATTGTAGGATATGTTTAAACTGTTTTTCTTTATCCGAATTCAGGAAATTTGCATTTACACTGTTGATAGTGTGAAACATTGTGTTTCTTTGTTTTGTGTATATTCAACTTCGTTACAATGGGAGCATAACCTGTCTTCCACTGGTGTTTTTGGTTCAGTATAACAACCTTTTTCAATGGCAAGTTTATATGCATCAAATTGTGTTTGTATTTGTTGATATCAACTGGTATGAATATACATGTATGTGGACATGCTCATTTTATTCTACGTACTTTATAATTTCAAGGAAGTTAAATAATTGATGTCATTTTTGCTATACTAATAAGCATTCTACTGTTAATGATCAATGGTCTTGAAAGAGAAAAATCAAGGGAAATTTTTTTTCATCAGTTTATCAAATATTATATTGTATACTGTTTTTCATACATTCATGCAATTTAATCCATAAAGTTCAATGGTCTATCTCCAATACTATGGAGCACATACAAATTCTGAGACCAAGTTTCAAAAATCATTATAAAACAACAGTGATAAATTCAAACTCATAGAAAGAATCAACAACGAGGAACAGCCAATCCTGCATAAAAACCCTATTTTTAGGAGGTTCTCAGGAATGTTCATTACTTAATCCCCTGAGCAAATATTATCACGAAAAATACATGATCATTTTCTCCTCAGCTTTCTGAAAACATTCATTGTCATATCTGCATGCTTAATAATAAGTAGGGAAAGTCATAATCACAATTAAACTATTATACATTTTCTCCTCTCTATACCTTAATAGTATCTCTGTCAATAAACTGTTATATTATGTATATATTTTTGAAACTCTATGCTAGAAGATTGTTATCAAATAGAATACGCAGTTGATGCAATGCATGTACAATGTGTATGAATAGAGAAAAGTAATGAAACTTGCTTAACAAAATATCGCTATTATAAACAAAAGTGAAGGCAAAAACTTACACTTTTCAAACACTTATCTAAGAAAAGATTACTCTTCTGATCAAAATGAAGCAGAAATCAGTTTCAAATTTAAAGAGCTTAATTTGGCATTTTTGCTGACCTGTGATTGCCAGTAAACTTGACAATAATGACACATCGTCTTATTTATGCACAAGTCTTGATAGTGTGACAAAATTAGCCATACATAGAAACAAAAAAAAACACATATCTAGCTTATGTGAGTAATGGGTCAACCATATAAAATCATGAAGGGGTGGCTAGAAGAGGGCGACCAGTGCATTTGATGTGGTATTTTATTCTATACATTTTTATTTTTCATGATTTTTTTATGTGTGTCAAGCTTGCAATTTCAAAACATTTTTACTGTCACCCTCTCTCCCATGATTTTGAATGGTCGCCCCCAAATTGAATGAAAACTACAACCACAGTGCTGCATATCATATCGAACATATGTTGATGTATTGATCATCATTGACAAGAAACAACAAAACTGAAGACATTGTATCATATTAAATGAGTAAAGAGCCTCAATTTACTGGTAAAAATACTGACTACATAGCATCAGTCCCTTATTAATTTTACCAATTGTACAATTTTTTGATCTGAATAAATACATATCTAGTTGACAGATTATAGACTTATCCAAATTGAAAGATAAACTATGTGACTAAGTTTGCTGGTAATTTCTGCTCATAATATTCTGTACACAATATTAATAGTGCATGTATCTGCTTATGATCTGGATCTAAAATTTCAATAGAACTGGGTCTTTGTAAATCTATCAAATTCACCATTCACTTGCTGATGACAGTGTAATCATAGAAGTATACTGTATTGATGATGGCAATGTAATTATAGAAGTCTACTTTATTGCTGATGGCAGTGTAATCATATAAGTCTACTGTATTGCTGTTGGTAGTGTAATCATAGAAGTCTACTGTATTACTGATGGTAGTGGAATCATAGAAGTCTACTGTATTGATGATGGCAATGTAATCATAGAAGTCTACTGTATTGTTGATGG